GTCCTTGTCCACACTCAAAACACACCCAAAAAAGCCTATAAAAAGGTACCAGGGGTATTTTATGGGGCCCCCTACTAACCCCGGGCCCTCGGGCAGTGCCCGAGTGCTCGAATGGTCAGTCCGCCCCTGCGGTACTGCGTTATTTTAACTGACAATTGCACAGTCATGAAACGTTTTACATAAATGAAAATTTCGTCCTTTTTTTTCCCATAAATAGAGCTTTCTTTTGGTGGTATTTGTTCACGTGTGCTTTTTTTTATTTTTTGCGCAATACACAAAAAAAAACAACAATTTCGAAAAAAAAACTGTATTGTTTTACTTTTTGCTATTAAATATGTCCAAAGAAAAAAATTTTAAAAATCAAATTTTGTGATAAATTGAGACCAAAATGTATTCTGCTACATGTCTTTGCTAAGAAAAATCCTAATACATGTAAATTAATTGGTTTACGTGAAAGTTATAGCGTCTACAAATTGCGGTATATATATACTCAAATTTTTTTTTTTTTTACTAGTAATGGCGGTGATCAGCGACTTATTGTGGGACTGCGACGGACCTTCTGACTAACTGCCACTGACACTAATAAAGTGATCAGTGCTAATAGAAAGCACTGACACTGTACTAATGACACTGGGCAGGAAGGGGTTAACATCTGGGGCGATCAAAGGGTTAAATGTGTGTGTGTTTTACTAGGGAAACAAGTTGCTTTGTATTGTTGTGCTGTGCAGAGCAATACAAAGCAGACTGTTCATGCTGACAGGGAAGAGATCTGTGTTGTTTACATACAGACCTCTCCCTTGTCAGCTCCGCCAACGATCACCAAGTCCTGGCCAAGAATCGGTAGCTGGGACCCGGTGATTGACATGCCGAAGAGCCAATAGTGGTTTAAACAGTCGACTTTTGACAAGCTTGGAGGTGCTAACAGTGGCACTCACAGCTCAAGTTTCACCGCATTCAAGTAGAATTAGCCGAAACTTGAACCAGGTATGACAACCTTAAAGTGGTTAAAAACCTTCACAGTGAAGTGACCATTATCAGGAGATACACAGAGATAAAACACATCCTCCTGCATACATTGTACCTGTTTATCTGCAGCTCTCTCTCTTCTACAGCATCTCTTAGTCCTGAAAAGCAGGGGACAGGGATCTGAAGTCTCACACTGCAGAGCTCAGTGAGGGGATCTCTGAGCCCTGATTGGAGGGAACGGACACCCCTCCCCACCTCACAGTACACAGAAACAGGCACAGGTAGCGCAAACACCTAGTGCATTATCCAAGGTTTATTAAAAGTGTAAAAGGACAAAAAATATACTTACAAACATAGCGTGTGTGTAAAGCCTATAAGGCCATAGAGATGGCCACAATGATGGCATTGTATCTGACTGATGGTGCGGTCAGCCTGCTGATGCGTTTTGGGGATGAATCCCTCTCCTCAGAGAATCTTACACACATGCTATGTTTGCGAGTATATTTTTTGGTAATAGTGACTCATGCAGGTAAAAGAGGAACAAGGCAGCAGAGAGAAATCACATTGAGTCCTTTGAATAGAGTACACAGTATAGAAGGATGTGCTTTGTTAATATTTCATGTCTGAGGTTTACAACCACTTTAACATAGTAAAGTCTCTCCTACTTGATCATGTTATGCAAATAAGGATAACACTGCAATCAACAGGACAGCTTCAACAAATTGGGTGTTGTTAGTAATGGCTGATTTATCATTTACCACTGACGGGGTGCTTACAATGATCAGATTTTAAACATTTATGTAAAACCTTTATCCTAAAGTGAAAAACTTTTGCTGTAACCGAATTTACAGTTTTAGCTAGAGTTCAGCTTCATTGATAGACAAGTCCATTTTTATTTTTGGGTATAATACTGCTTTAAGTCTCACTGATGGTTCATACCACATTTGACTGAAGCTTCTTTTTAAAGTGGATCTACACTGCATCTGAGCACTACAAACAACTATTCAAAACAAACAAACGCACCAATCTGTCCATGTTTCCATGCTTTACATTACTGAGAAAACACTTTTAAATACACCCCCGCCCCCCCAGCTTTTCTGGCAGCGTCCCCCATCTTGAGTAATGGCAGATAATACATGTAGCAATTACTTCCTGGAATTCATCTGCCCTTAGCTCAAGCATGCATGCAGGAGGGTGTTCCTAGCTGAGAAAGTCCCTTCTGCCCTCCTCCCCTACTGAAGACTCCTGGAATGCATGACATCATTTGCCTAGGCCCGGACAGCAGGGAGTAAATGAAGAAATGTAAAACAAGTAAATATGATGTACTTTTCTGTCTCTTTACTAAGTAGAAATAGTCAATGTTGATTGAGAGAGTTCGGCCACAGTGTAAAGATTATAAACCATTTCAGTATAACAATATGATCATTACTGTTGAAGATTAGCCTTTGCGGTAATGTATACACTGAACAGGCACAATATAATTAGCCCCTGGCATGAGTGACCCTAGATACACATCTAATTACCAATTCATCTGACCACAGTAAATACATTACAGAAAAATCTTCTAAAAATAGCAACAAATTATAATGATAATATAACCAAGAGATTTATCATGAACCAATTTCCTTTCTGTTGTTCCATATATCCCTTCACAATGCAGACAACTTATGTTGCTGCTGGCTAGATGCAAAGTATAAACGCACCTTCTTCTAAGGAAAATGGAATATTAAGCGCAATCACTAAGGACCGGGCTTTTTCTGGCACTTTGTTCACATGTAACAATCAGGTTTTTTTTTGCTAGAAAATTACTTAGAACCCCCAAACATTATATTGGTTTTTAAAGCAGAGGCCCTAGAGAATAAATTGCTGGGCTTTGCAATATTTCTGTCACACTGTATTTATGCAACGTTTTTTCAAATGCAATTTTTAAGAAAAAAATACACTTTTTGGAATTTTAATGCAAAAAAAAAGATATATAACCCAATTTTTGGGTAAACTATAAAAGATGATGTTACACCAAATAAATAAATATGTCGCGCTTTAAATTTGTGCACTCCTGTACAGCAGTGAAAAACAGTGCAAAGTTTACTATCCATAGACGATGCTCAGAAAATCCAGAAAAATCTCTCTCCAAACAATGCCACAGATGTAAATTAAAAAAAACAAACAAAAAACAAATATCGTGTTACAAATGCACTGTCTGTCTGTTTGCCTTTAATAATTTTGTCCCTACTTCACTCCATAGCTAGGGGATGCTGTAAGTAGTTAGTCCCACCCTTCTTCTTCATGCTTTAGTCTCCATATATCACATGTACTGTATTCTGATGGAACTAGACATACTGGGGTGTATTTACTAAAACTGGTTCACTCCGAATCTTGTGCACGTCTGCAAAGAAACCAAACAGCTTACAGGTTTTATTGCTAAAGCTTAATTGAACAAGCTGAGGTTAGAAGCTGATGGTGCATGGTAGCTGCTGGCTATCATGCAGAGGTGCTCCAGATTCTGAATGAACCAGCTTTAGTACATAGATAACACAAAAAACAGCGCAAAAATTAAATAAAAAATAATCACAAATACATAAATGTCCGTGCAAAAAAAAATATAAATAATATAATATAATATTTCAAACATAGACCCCACTATGATGTTTTGTGATCTATGTGATGTTCATCTGTGCATATCTGCACAGGTTTTTGGATTAAAGCTTTCTACGATCTGCTGGATATCATTTGGATCAAGTCACTGTCTGCACATTCTACTGAGACTGTAACTTAAGTTATCTCTCACCGCAACTGGATCAGTTATAGAGATCACACTTGTAGTGCTTAGACTGGAGAAGCAGAGCACCTGGCATAAACGTTTAACTCTCTTCTCACCCACCCCAACATCCTTTTTATTTAAAATTTCTGAATGCTGGAGGGGTGATAGGAAAGAAATTGGGTGACCACAGTGATTGGCTGTCACAGTGGTCAATGATCAGGAGCCTGTCTTGCCAGCTACCGATCATTAGTGGGGACCAAGAGCTGTCTTTCACAGCTCTGTCTCTGTGCTGAAAGCATGCTATGAGTGCTCTCCCAGCACAGAAACATCGTCCATCCAGTGATGCATATGTTCGGCATGTGGGTGGTAAAACCCACCCTTTTTCTGTTGCACATATGTGTTAGGAGGGTGTAAAGGGGTAAAATTAGCATAACCCATAATCTATGACTAATTGTAATTAGGACACAATGATAACAATGTCATCAATACAAAATATCCCAAAAAAAAGCCAAATTATTGCACAAAGAAAAAAGTGGGCTGTATGCATTGGAATTCCAAAGACATTTGCAGGTAAATACAGGAAGATTTTAGGCAATACCCTCTGAGAAATTATTCAAATAACATTTCCCACAAAATTGCTTCATGTCTCCACAGAGACCATCCGCACTCATGTTGTACAAAAGTTCCTGTTGTTTGGTCAGTGGAAATGACTTTATATATGTAAATGTACGTTATTCATATTTTCTACATTGTAAATAACGAAACTCAAATTCTTTTCTGAGACCCCGGAGATTTATAAAATGTGTGGGATCTTCCCTCTGAAACCAGAATCGCCCATTGTTCACTGGAAGGGTGAATACACAGCCATCAGTCAGTACAGCTCTCCACATATTTAAGTTATTCATACCATACATTGTTACTGAATGTTACAGTGCAGGAACAAATGGCAACAAGAGAGCAAAGAAGTGAGGTCATGCCATGACCAGACTGTTCAACAGCAAGCAGCTAAATTGTAGCTAAAAAAAAAACATTCTGTTTTGCAGTTCACCAATCCTTAGATGTAGTGGCTGCATTTATTTTTTCAGTGTCCAGTGAAACCAGAGCAAGCCGTTTTAGTACAGCAGAAGAGCCTGTACAACTGTGATCGAACGTAAGGCTGGAGTTCAGCTTTAAAGTATTACTAAATCTACAAAAGCAAAATCAGTCTGTATATGCAGTAAAGCATGCTTGTTATACACACTGTGGAACCTAAGGGGTTAATCCTCTGCAAAGGATGTTTGCTCCTGTCTTCTCTGATCCTCCCCTTCTTCTACTGTGCCTGATCCATCTGCTGATAGAACAGAGTCTTGAGGGCAAGCTGCACATGCTCAGTTTGGTGTGTATTTTTAGGGAGTCTCTGCCCTTCTTCTTGTTCAAATGTCCACTCTGATAGGACAGACTGAACCCCTAGCCCTTCGGCACATGCTCAGCTTAGTGTGTATGGCTAAAGAGGTTTTTTTTTCTTGGGAGAGTGCATGTGATCAGTACAGGGCCAATCCACGCTGTCCAGACAGAGGACAGGGGTTTTGCATCCTCCTAGAGCAGAAAGAAAACTCCTCCTACAAGTTTTAATCAGTGGTCAGCTGAAGTTACAGGACTGCTCTAACTGCTGATGAGAAAAGGTATTTAGCAGTTAATATTTACTAAAATAATTACATTTCCATGTTGTGTGTACTGTGGGAGACCAGATATAGTGAATGCAGGGTCCTGGGTTTAGTAACACTTTAACCCCTTAATGCCACCTCCTGGTGGTCTTCTACTGGGATTTATTGCCCAGGAGGTGGTGTGGCTTCTGTATCATGTGACTGCTGTGATTGGCCCAAATGATCAGGCGCCTATCCCACTGACTTCTGATCAGAAGCCTTCATTGAGAATTGTTGGTGAGAGCCTGGTCAGTGTGCTGGGAGCATGCAGTCTCAGCACACAATTCTCATGCCGCCATGGATGCATGTGCGTCTGGGCATTAAAGCCTTCCCTTTTTTTACACTGCATATGAAAGTTATGCAGCCAACAAGAGGTTTAAAACGATTAGTTGTTACAGACAAAACCTTTATTTATCCTTTCACCAGTTACTTTATTTGGTCAGGTTACAATTTGGAGTTTAAAAAATATATAAGAATCCACTGAACCTTTCATTTAAAGAGACCTTACTTTTGAAATAAAAAAAACTTGCAGCAGTAGAGGATGATAAACTCTTGCATGTTTCCACAGCCAGGTCCCCAATGCCTATCCCTTTCCCATCCCCCCTGTTCAAATCCCCCATTTTTACTCTATACCCCTGCTCTCCTCCAAATCATACCTTCTGTAGCCATTTTGTACTTTTCCCTTTCTCCACCCAACTTCTTGTGCCTTTTTTCTTATACCTTTCTGCCATTTTATAGGCCTTTTAGGTGTTTGCAATATTACCTTCTTTCTTAAAGCGCAGCTCCACCCAAAAGGGGAATCTCTGCTTGTCTACCTCCTCTCTCCACTACCACATTTGGCACTTTTTTGGGGGGAGCGGGTACCTGGTTTTGACAGGTGCCCACTCCCACTTGCGACTCAGTTCGGCACGGTGCACTGAGCAGGAAGTTTGGCTCCCCTTCTTCCTCCCCACAGTCTTCTGGGACACTTCACAGGTCCCAGAAGACTGCGGGACCAATCGCAAGCCATGCTTACATTTCTACACTCTCGTCACTTAGGTTTGAGTCCCATAATATTAATAGGCTTCCTAAATTTACTCCAATCTAATTACAGCCATCATGATTGCAAATGACTGTCCTTTCCTCCTATTTGGAAATAAATGCATATCCGTTTTGCTGTAGGTTGCCTTATGTTGTACATTCTGTGCCTTATTTGTTACCCATCAGCTGCTAAGAGAGAAGGATGGAGTAGTTGCTCTGAGCCATGGAAACCTCCAACCAGTGGCTCATCCAAAGAACAAAAATATGAAGGAGCAATGCAGGCCATACATGGATCGAACATCGGCCGATTTTTCGTCCGGAAAAAAAAAACGGCTGATTTTCGGATCGTTAGTGGGTTAATAGGTCGGCCGTTTTTCGGTATTTTGGCAGATTTTTTTCATCGGTAAAGTTGGAAAAAGATCGGCCGATTTTGCCGATCGGCCGATTTTCGAATGATGGGCAAATCGGCCGATCTTTTTACCGATAAAAAATCTGCGCATGAGCAGTGACCTGCAAGAGGAAGACAAAAAGAAGAAGAAAAAGGAGAAGAAGACAAAGAACAGGATGAAGAAGAAGAGGATGAAGAAGAAGAAGAGGATGAAGAAGAGGATGAAGAAGAGGATGAAGAAGAAGGTGAAGAAGAAGAAGAGGATGAAGCAGAAGAAGAGGATGAAGAAGATGAAGAAGATGAGGAAGAAGAGGAAGAAGAAGAGGATGAAGAAGAAGAAGAACAAGAAGAGGATGAAGAAGCAGAAGAAGAAGTAAATGAAGAAGAAGAAGAGGATGAAGAAGAGGATTTAGCAGAAGAAGAGGATGAAGAAGAAGAAGAGGAAGAAGAAGAAGAAGAAGAGGATGAAGAAGAAGAGGAAGAAGAAGAAGAGGATGAAGAAGATGAAGAAGCAGAAGAAGAAGAAGAGGATGAAGAAGAAGAAGAGGATGAAGAAGAAGATGAAGCAGAAGAAGAGGATAAAGAAGAGGATGAAGAAGAAGAAGAAGAGGATGAAGAAGAGGATGAAGAAGAAGAAGAAGAAGAAGGGATGAAGAAGAAGAAGAACAAGAAGAGGATGAAGAAGAACAAGAAGTAGATGAAGAAGAAGAAGAGGATGAAGAAGAGGATTTAGCAGAAGAAGAGGATGAAGAAGAAGAAGAGGATGAAGAAGAGAGAAGAAGAAGAAGAGGAAGAAGAGGAAGAAGAAGAGGATGAAGAAGAAGAGGAAGAAGAAGAGGATGAAGAAGATGAAGAAGCAGAAGAAGAAGACGAGGATGAAGAAGAAGATGAAGCAGAAGAAGAGGATAAAGAAGAGGATGAAGAAGAAGAAGAAGAGGATGAAGAAGAAGAAGAAGAGGATGAAGAAGAGGATGAAAAAGAACAGGATGAAGTGGAAGAAGAAGAGGAAGAGGAGGAAGAAGAAGATGAAGAAGAAGAAGAATTCCAGTCCGGCAAAAAGTGTCCCTGCAGAGAGCTCCGCTATTTCTTTGACAGTTCTTTGACATTTATAACGGCTGCAACAATGTATCTGTTTCCAAATAAAAACATCTGTATCCGAAATGGATACAAATAGATACAATGTTGCAGCCACTATAAATGTCAAAGAACTGTCAACGAAATAGCGGAGCTCTCTGCAGGGACACTTTTTGCCGGCTGTAGACGGGATGATGAAAATCGGCCGATTTTTTTTACCGTTCCTAGTAACGTCGGCCGATTGAACGACCGATTTTTTTCGTTTTTTTAAAGAAAAACCGGCCGGTTTTCTCCCCATCTATGGCCTGCATAAGTCAGACCATTGATGAGTCGAAATCCAAAAGTTCTGTCGAGCAAGAAACGAAAATAGCTCATACGACTGTGCCATCAATTGTTTTGCTATTCTAATAAAATTCCATCATGTTGGATCAGGCACTTTTGATTGCGGCACGATATTTACATGTCGTAGCTGCCACACTAATGACGTTGAAAACGAACTATTTAAAATTTTCGTTCAGTTTTCGCTTGCTTAAGTTTATAAAATGTGAAAATCATATCAAAAACTACTTTAAGTTTAACACACTGCAATGATGACTCAAATTAGGTGATCCCTGAAAATATGCTAATGACATTTCTTTCAATAAAGATGACCATTAGAGAGTGCAATAAAGCTTTTTTTCTGAAATACAATAATCAAATTATAGACCAGCAAGCAAGAAAAAAAATGTGAAAGGTGTGCTGGACACTGCTTTCTTTTTATATAACAAATTAGCTCAAATTTTGTATTCAAATATACTATAAATTACTTTTATTTGCAGTGCTATCCACTAGAGTTGACTATCCCTTCAATGAGCAAAAAATGTCCAGTGACTTGGTTTCTCTGCTCCCACCCTGACCATCCCACTCTACCTGAAAACCTCTACAAGGCTGGAGGGGTGTTCACAGTTGTTCAGCATTCTTTGACTCATTGGAGATCCTGTCTCGGCATCTCATTCCTGTTCCTAAAAACACATGAAATATATCTGATAAATTATTTAAAAAAAAATGCTGGATTTGAGTGTTTACAGGCACTCACTTTGAAGTCTATTGAGCCAAAAACACCCAAATCTGCCAAAAATTTAGCTAATGTGGCTTTTGGAACTTCAGGCGTTGAGCTACGGGCATCTGAGCGCTCATATGCGAAGAGCCGCCGTTAAATTACATGGGATCTTGTCAGGGGCGGACTGACAACTCATGGGGCCTCTGGGGTACCAGGGACATCTCATGGGGCCCCCTACTGACCCCGGGCCCTCGGGCTGTGCCCGAGTTTCCAAATGGTCAGTCTGCCCCTGGATTTTGTTTATTGAGAGTTTTGGAGCCTAGAGCTACCAAAACACTCAAGTGTGAATGGGGTTTTAAAGCATTCATAACCCTTTCTCTGCTTGAACCCTTCAAACATTAGAAACATGCTGGCACAAGGATAGAGAGTATAGAGATGACTATATCAGTCTCCTATTGCATCTTTACTGTCCAATCACATTCTGGGATGCAAGGGTGTGACCAAGATGTGTCACTTAATTACAGCACAGAAAAATCAAGGAGGACTTAAAGTGGAACTGCACTGCATCTGAGCACCACAAACCAAACATTCTATTTAATTCATTGTTAATATTCAAAGCAAACTCACCTATCCATCCATATCTCTATGCTTTATTTTGCTGAAAAATCACTTTGAAAACACCCCCTGGCATTTCCGACAGTGGTCATCTTGAGTAAGGGCAGATAATTCATGTAGCATTTACTTCCCGAATCCATCTGCCCTTCGTTCAGGCATTGGCTGAGCTGAGAACCCTCCCTCCCCTCCTGAAGACTGCTGAGATGTATGACATCATTTGCCTAGGCTGGAAACCAGGAAGTAACTGAAGAAATGTAAAAAAAAAATTTAATTAAAACAAGTAAATCTGATATACTTTCCTATCCATTTACTAATGCTAGCAGCATAAGGATTGAAAATAGTCCATGTTGACTGTGAGAGTGGGGTTCCACTTTAAATCCTTTGGCAGGCTGTTTGTCTGGAATTCAAGTTTTTAGAGCGGAAGTAAAGTCTTATTGAGAAAGGAACAAATGCCCCCCCGCAGATTTAAGTCATAATGTACTAGTATGCACTGCATACTAGCATAACATGACAGACTTCGCTACAAACTGAGCCCTCCAGCACTGCACTGTCATGGTTCTCCTGATACCTGGTGGTTCCATCTTCTCCCAGTCTTCCTTCCAGGGTGCTAATATCCGGATGTTTGAATAGCTGAGCTGATGTGATGTCACTCCCGTGCATACACATGGGAGTCATGTTGCTGTGCAAACAGAATGGGCCGTAAATGTGGTCTGAGCTGCCCATGTGCGACTCAGATCACATTACCACTAACAGGCAAGGGGGGCATTTATGACAGAAGAGACCTCTAGGATCTATTCTGTTATAAAAACCCTGCCTTTGCACCCTCCCGGTACAGCACCTCTGCCAGTCCTGGCAGCGATCTAGCTCT